AATAGTAAGTTTTATGCAAGAAGAAATACATGATGCATATTCACAATATGGATATTCCCAGGGAAAAAATACTCAAGACTTGACAAACTAAAAAATAAATTGACGCTATGGAACCATTTTTTTCGACTTCCTAAATATTTTAAAGCTCAACATACAAGAATAGCATGTCACAAGTGCTTAAATGAACATGATCTAGTGATTGTAACTATCAATGAGAATGTAATCTTAATCCATTGTATCAATTTAGCCAATTATGTGGTTTATATCAAATTAACGGTGTGCAATTAATGACTTTTTGGCATTTTTGCATGCTAGCTTAACGCAGGGCTCTCACAAATGAGGAGTTATATAAGCCCGCAGGCTGTACTTATTTCACAAATTGCCCACTTTGGAGTAAAATCTTCTGTAAGATAAACTGCACCAGAACGTTCAATTCCTGATAAGGAAAATGGAGGATGCAAATTCTGTTATGCAAATACCTAGGCTACTTGCAAATACCCCAAAGAAATTTTCAATACGTCTAAACCAGGACAGCTGTGCATCCTTCAACCCATCCTATCACTAGAAGAAATTTGCTTATGTTACTGAACAGAACATAAAGGCATCACTAGTTATGATAAAAAAAAAATGGTTTAAGTCACAATGAAGGTGCTCAATGGTTCCATTAGATGCATAATCAAAAACAAGCATCCTAGAAAATGGGGTTGTTTTGCTGCAATAGCAAGTAATTTGCCGTATTTCTCATGATTTAGCCTAGCCATATCACCAGCTGCAGTACAAAATTTTTAGGCTTACAAATAGCCTTTATATCATATATAATTCCCAAAATATTAGACCTAAATACTTATTATCGAAAATACATTCAAGATAGTCTGTCCATTGGTCTTTTCACCGATGCATAGAGGATATTACGCAATTTCAGGCCCATTCATATAGTGCCTTTATAAGAACACTGGTCAGGAAGAAGATCCAATAATGTTACTGAAGTCTTCACAAGCTAGTTCACAGTTCTTCCCGGCTGAAACTCCTTACATCCTTGAGCATCTCACACTAGAAAAGCATTAGTTTTCTATAATGATGAGCGTCACCAAAACTATATAAAAGAAGGAGTGATTTCAAAAATCACTTAAGGTTGCTACCACCTATTGATATATGAAATGATCCCTCAGTTTGTATTTCTTCCATGAATTGAATGTAGGCTTTCGCTTGCATTTATGTATCCGTGGCTACTACTGTGAGGAAAAAGGGACATTGGTAACAACCTTCCAATATAAGAAGGCCATTTTTGGGTTGTTGTAGCTTTTCGGTGCTTAAGGTTCTTTACTTGATTGTCTAGACGTCCATTGGCTTGCTCCCTGTCTTTTCGGGAAACCGCCTATGATAAATAACACAAGTATTTGAGGAACAACATGGAATGAAGCCACCATGGAAGAATTATTTTACTTTCTTTTAATTTAAAGCTTAATATTCTTTAAATAATTCTAATTTTTAAATGATGAAAATAAGCTGCTATATGGAAAGACATAAGAAAAATAATGCAATAAGTCAGCAAATTTCAATCATATATTCATTTAGCTTATCTTTGTTTACCACATATATAGATGGAGTAATCAAGACTTCAAATGTCATTTCAGGAAACTGTTAATTTCAACAGAAAAATCAACCAAAATGGGGCCATTATCTGCCAAATCACTGCTTCAATGAAAAACTTTCTACCTATAAAACCTTGTCAAAAATGATTTTCGTCAAATCACAATCCACAAAAAAAAAATCAGGCACTATTAGGCGAAACATACAACTGATTTTTTCTAGTGGACCATAACCAACAATTTATGGAAAATTGACATATCGACAGATTTTTGCGGATGTTTCTTCAAAAATCCACAACTATTTTTTATTTACAGCAACTTATCTGGTGAAGTCGATTTTATAAGCTTTCCTCATAACATACAACTTTAAATAGAATAAATATTAAAGACAATAAAGTATAACACAATTACACGAAAAATTATTTAAATAACTTTATAGCCTATTTCAAATTAGCATATGTTTGCTTTACAATAGTCCCACTCATGTCTCATCTTCGTCACTCTCTTCTTTACCTTCTTCATCTTCATTCACACTCTTCCCTCAATCTTTATCATACTCTATATTTTCCTCAATAACTCTATCAATGCTCTTCAAATTCACTATCCAACACCTATGTAAATTAGTTATTGGATCTACATCACTAATAGGTTGATTAGATTCTGACATCTCTTTTTGAAGAACAGCGCCTATAATAGTTTATCATTAAATACTCTTGGGCTTAGTCAAAATCTTTATCGGACCATTTACTTCTGATCTATTTGATCTGCTTGCAGTTCAACTAGGACCAAGGAGGGTTTGAGCAGCTAGCTGTGAGAAGGTTTCGGCAGCATACAGCAGGACCAGGGAGGAGTTCAAGGAAGGGTGAAGTGGAACTTCAACATTTTTAGAGCAGAGTCTTCTTGGGTACCCATACCACACCCCACTCAATGTACCCCCATACTCAATGGGTATGGTCGCCACTAGCCTTGTGGGTGGATATGGGTGGGTCTCAACATCGGGGGATAAAATCGATTTACAAATGCTAATCACCGTATATCTTCATACTTACTGTAATCCTCCTAAATACGTGTCGGCTCACTTACCAGTTGCGACTAACGGTAAATTCCTATCTGCGGCTTGAAGTTTGCAATCAGAGGCAAAATGCGCACGCCTCAAGGTCATCAAGTCCCGTGACAGATTGCATTAAAAATCATGGAAGCTGGTGGGTATAGGCTGGATATGGCATCCCAAAGTCGTCATGGGTGGGCAAAGCCAGTCGAAGTAAAGCATGCATACCAATGGGTAACCAACTTGAGGACCCATGTAGGGCTTTGTTTTAGAGCCTCGCTCCAATGAGAAGGATTCAAAGAAGGCATTATTTATTCTTATTCGTAGGCATAAATATGAAAAATAGAGTAAAATGGGGCATTTTATCACAATGCAAGTTTTGTCAAGGGGTGGTTATTAATACAAGCCGATCAAACTTAAAAAGGATACGATGGTAATTCCCAGATTCTCTATGGAGGAATGTTAACATTCATGACCATCAGATTTTGTCCTTGACTATAAAGTATGCAGATAAAGGTTCAAAAATCGGACCTAAATCATGATTTTTTTGGACCGATTCACATCCACAATTATGAATCAATTAACTGACTCAAATGAACAGGGGGAACACATATTGGAACAAGGATTAGCTTTACTAAGGATACTTCTATGCTGGTGAAGTTCTAGCTCTATTGGGTGCTCAGAAGTAGGAGAAGTTAGAAAAAATTAAGAGTCCAAGGCTCTGCGTAAGTTCCAAGGGCTGCTGCGTAAGTTTCCAAGGGCTTCTGCGTAAGCAAGGAGCGATTAGAGAAGTGGGAAGAGAGAACCGATGGTAATAGAGTTTTTTCAGGGTTAGGTTAAGAGTGAGGTGATAAGAGCTTGTGGTGGTTGGGATCAATTTCTTCTCAAGAATTTCCAATGAATTCCTAAGTCCGAAGTGCAGGAGGTGGCATAAAATGGTAAAAAGGCTAAGCTCAAGTTGGGTTTGGGTGGTTGAAAGTACTAACAGCAATCTAGAGAAGAGAAAGAACACCCCATCCATATATCATCTTTTACATGGATGACTGCTAGGCGCCCACAACATATTGCCTCTAACCTTTTATCTGATTTAAACATGATGGTGTTAAGATGACAACTAGGCAGTACATCCCAGTGATAAACTGAAGGTGCAGACTAACCAATTATTATAAGTTCAACACTAATTCCTAACAAAAGGGCCATATAAAAATTTTCTAAAAATTGAAGAATACATTTGATGAATATCCCTTTGTAACATGAGTAATCAAAACCAGTACCCCAATATTCTTATCTTGTCATGTCACATACTCTAAAAGCAAAGTGAACGCTTCAAGAATGCTATACACTCTTTATTATATTAAATCCAGTTTGCAAAGTTCACAAACATAGAAGTGATATGCCATCAAAGATTATCTTGATCGGCACGGAATCTCGATGCAAAATCAAGTTGAGAAACCTTTGAAATTAAAATCTGGGGACCGATCCGAACCTCATTTAACCAGTCGATTGAACGTGCTCGGAAATAGCGAAAACCCAACGACACCAAATTCGACTCAATCCAAGCCTAAATGAGTCCAAATCAGGGACCCGAAGCACTGTATGGAAGGTTCAGAGACACAATTTAGATTACCCAACAATTCAAAAACATTACGTGCTTATAGTCGAATCGACGGCTCGACGAGACGAATCCAACGAGCTCAGATCGTGAATTCCGATATCCGTTAAGACTTTCAAATGTCTGACGACGATCCACAATCAAGGGATCATATCGGTCATCCATCCAACCACCACCATTGTCCCTTGATCTTCTCACCCAATTTACGGGTCATGTCCTCCAGAAATCTATAAATAGACATTATCTTCTCTTGAAAGGGGGACCGAAGCAAGAAGAGAAGAAGAAGAGAGAAGACAAAGTCTTATTACTCCATTCATATATGTGGTAAACAAAATAAGCTAAATGAATATATGATTGAATTTGCTGACTTATTTCATTATTTTTCTTTTATGTCTTTCCATATTAGCAAGCTTATTGTTCATCATTTAGAAATTAGAATTTTTATTTATAAGAATATAAGCTTAAATTAAAAGAAATTAAAATAATTCTTCCATGGTGGCTCATTCATGTTGTCCTCAAATGACTTGTGTTTATTTATCATAGGCGGTTTCCCGAAAAGACAGGGAGCAGCCAATGGGACGTCATTATTTTTCTTTTATGTCTTTCCATATTAGCAAGCTTATTGTTCATCATTTAGAAATTAGAATTTTTATTTATAAGAATATAAGCTTAAATTAAAAGAAATTAAAATAATTCTTCCATGGTGGCTCATTCATGTTGTCCTCAAATGACTTGTGTTTATTTATCATAGGCGGTTTCCCGAAAAGACAGGGAGCAGCCAATGGGACGTCTAGACAATCAAGTAAAGAACCTAAGCACCGAAAGCTACAACAACCAAAATGGCTTCTTATATTGGAAGGTTGTACAATGTCCCTTTTTTCCATCACAGTAGTAGCCACTGTATACATTAAATGCAAGCGAAAGCCATACATTCAATTGCCATGGAGGAGAAATACAAACTGGAGGGATCATATCACTATATCAATAGGTGGTAGCAACCTTAAGTTGAATTTTGAAATACACTCCTCTTTTCATTATAGCTTTGTGTGACGCTCATCATTATAGAACTAATGCTTTTCTAGATGGTGAGATGCTCAAGGATGTAAGTAGTTTCAGCCGGGAAGAACTTGAACTAGCTTGTGAAGACTTCAGTAACATTATTGGATCTTCTCCTGACAGTGTTGTCTATAAAGGCACTATGATGAATGGGCCTGAAATTGCTGTAATATCTCTATGCATCTTGAAAGACCAATGGACAGACTATCTTGAATTGTATTTTCATAATAAGGTATTAGGTCTTAAATATTTTGGGAATTTATATGATACTAAAGGCTATTGTGTTAACCTAAAAATTTGTACTGCAGCTGGTGGATATGGCTAGGCTAAATCATGAGAATACGGCAAAATTACTTGGCTATTGCAAGCAAAACAACCCATTTTCTAGGATGCTTGTTTTTGATTATGCATCTAATGGAACGCTATATGAGCACCTTCATTGTGAGTTAGAACCATTTTTTTTTTTTTTTATCATAACTAGTGATGCCTTTATGTTCTGTCAGTAACATAAGCAATTTCTCTAGTGTAGATGGTGAAGGATGCCAGCTGTCCTGGTTTAGACGTATGAAAATTTCTTTGGGTATTGCAAGTAGCCTGAGGTATTTGCATACAGAATTGCATCCTCCATTTTCCTTATCAGAATTGAACTCTGGTGCAGTTTATCTTACAGAAGATTTTACTCCAAAGGTGGGCAAATTTGTGATAAGTACAGCCTGCGGGCTTATATAACTCCTCATTTGTGAGAGCCCTGCCGTAAGCTAGACATGCAAAAATGCCAAAAAGTCATTAATTGCACACCGTTTAATTTGATATAACCACATAATTGGCTAAATTGGATACAATGATTAAGATTGACATCTCATTGATAGTTACAATCACTAGTATTCATGTTCATTTAAGCACTTGTGAACATGCTATCTTGTATGTTGAGCTTTAAAATATTAGAAGGTTGAAAAAAATGTTCATGAGCAGTCAATTTATTTTTTAGTTTGTCAAGTTTGAGTATTTTTTTCCCTGAAATTATCCATATTGTGAATATTGCATCATGTATTTCTTCTTGCATAAAACTTACTATTAGCTTCCTTATGCCCTTTTACTTTCTGATAGCATGTTTTGAGTACAATTTGGTGGCGATCATTTATTTATTTAGTTTAATCCTAAAATATTTTGCTCAAGGTTTTCTAATCTACAGCTCCCATCATCATCAGCCTTTTCCTAACTATTTAGGATTGATGTATAATCCTCATTTTCTATTCATCTTTATTGAATGATGTCTGAGGTTTTAAATCTAAAATAACTTCTATCCTTAAAATCTTAGTTATAATCTTTTCATTCCTAATCCTTTGACATTAATTTTATCAACTTGTCTAACAGGTGCATTTTGAACTTTTCATTATACACATAAATTACCTAAATCTATTTTTAGTCACTTTATCTTCAATACATGTGTTAAATCCCAACCGTCCATTGGCACTTGATCACAGCTAGGATGAGGATCCGTGAGAGGCTCACTTGGATCACGTTGGTCTCCTTCCATATTTATGTGGCTGATTTAGTAAGGATTATATCAGGGCAATTATGCATGATTCTATAATTATTTGTTTCTTTATTAAGATATCTTGTATAGATCCATAAATAGGGACATATTTGTGCAATAAAATTAAGTATTTCCCTCACAGATTCTCTGAATTTAACAAGGTATCAGAGCCAGATTCCCACCACCGACCTTCATTGCCGGGATCGCTAGGATATATGGATCGAAGGAAGTAGAGAGGAGCAAGCGACCTTCATTGCTGTTGGAGATCAAGCGAGAGTCGAGCAGTCTAAACTGCTCGTGCCCTCTTTTTCGTGCTTGCGGCCAGAAGAAGCGGAGATGAGTATTCTCTCGTACGTGCCTACTTGGGGGTCGAACAAGTAAAGGAGAAGAATGGAGGGAGCAAAGCTCTTCCTGCGTATGACTAAGACTGATCGAGTGTTTGGGAATTTCGAGCGGAGCAGAGGCCTTCTGCGTGTAAGCCTGGGGATGATCCGAGTACAAAAGAGGATCGGCAATGGAGCCGAGCATATGACCTCTTCCTGTGAGCTTCTGGATTTAGAGTTTCTTCTCTTACGTGTGTCTGGATGGATCAAGTAAGAGGAGGCAGGTGGTTGAAGTTTGGAGCCTCTTGTGCATCCCTGAAGCCTGCCGCAGCCTTAAAACAAAATTTTTATTTTGCTGTCGTGCCTTTATTATTGTCCTTCACTTATTTTTTCTACTAGTTCTATAACAAACACAACCTTTATTGCTACCTTTGCCACCACAATGTTTGAAGCTAATTCCTCCCAAAGCTTTGACCATATAGAGGACTCTATGATGCACCAAGGAAGAGTATATCTCCAAATTATGCAATTGTCCTATCGCTTAAATGGGAAGAACTATTTAAAGTGGTCCCAATTTGTGAAGACCTATTTGAAAGTGAAAGGAAAGATGAATCACCACCTTGCGGTTGAACTAAAAGAAGGAGATCATAATTTTTGGGCATGGGATGAAGCGGGCTCCATAATTATGTCATGGTTGTGAAATTCCATGACTCAAAAAATTAGTAATACTTTTATGTTCCTTTATTCTGCAAAGGACATATAGATGCCGCAAGGACAAATATTCTCAAAAGCTTGGGATGCTGCTCAAATTTTTGAGATTAAGGTCAAGGTAGGATGCACAAAATAAGGAAGTAAGACTGTGGTGGAATATGCCACTCTCCTGCAAAGCTTGTGGCAATAACTTGATAATTGCAGATGCATAGAGACAAAATGTCCATAAAATGCTATTATCCTGAAAAACTTTATTGAGAAAGATAAAATATATGATTTTCTTGATGGATTAAATGAGGAGTTTGATCAGGTTAGAGATAAATCCTTGGCAAAGAGGAGACACCTTCGTTAAATGAAATCATTTCTCTCATTCGCGCTAAGGATGACGAGGGGTATGCTAGAATCAAAGGTTGTTGATGGCTCAATAATGGTGACAATTAAAAAGGCGTCATGGAATGACAAAGCTATCATAGATAACATGAGGTTTGGAAAAGAATATTCTAGACGTACAAATCCAAACTATGTTTCAGAATAAATCCAAGAATTTGAACCGTTTCCTAAAATTGAGGTAAACACAAGTTCACCAAAAAATATCTCTTGTACCCCATAACCAACTTTGTATCCTTCTATAACTTCTCACCTTCACACAAAATTTTCTGGACACTCTAAATGATATTCATATTCCTAATAATATTTTCGAGACCTTATCTGATGAAAATTAAAAAAGTGCCATGAAAGATGAAATGTGGGCCTTGGAGAAGAATAATGCATGGGAGATCACCGATCAGCTGGTAGGGAAAAATTCAATCTGCTGCAACTGTGAAATACAAAGCTTATGGTACACTGGAAATGTATAAGTAAAGACTGGTAGCAAGAAGAGGCAAGCCGTATGACATGACTACCAGGAAACTTTTGCACCTGTGGCCAAGATTAATACTGTGAGGATCTTGCTCTCACTAGCAACTAATTATAACTATCATATGGAACAACTGGATGTCAAAAATGCATCCCTACACGGGGAGTTGGAGGAAGAAATATTTATAGAGATTTCACCAAGATCCAAGAAAAAATCTAGGGGTGACAAAGTGTGTAGGTTAAAAAAAGTTCTATATGGGCTAAAGAAGACGCCTAGAGCTTGATATGAAAGATTCTCAAAGGTTATGCTATTCAATGGTTATCGATAGAGCCAAGGGGACTATATATTATTCTTCAAGCATAATGATGAGTGTAAATAATGTTATATTTTATATGTTAAATTGTTAGTGAAATTGTTTTGTTTTAGTTGTGCTTGTGTAGGAAAATGTAAGAAATATGCAAAAATTTTAAGTATGGTACAATGCCACGGCATTAGACATTACACCGTAGTGACACCATCATTGACACTGTCGGAGCACCCAATATAGACATGACAGTGCCCAGTCTCTGTTTAACAGCATCGGAGGAGTTAATGCTGCAATGCCCAATCTCCGTCTACACAACACCGCTACACCAATTTCTAGTGCCGCCAAGCCAAGGGAGTGCCACATGGATGTCGCAGTGCTCAACTGTCAGCAGCGCCGCAGCGCTACATTTATAACCGTTCAGGACATGAGCTACCAGCGAAGCGACGCGACTATTCACTAAACAGCAGGCCCACGCAGCAAGTGCCGCGGTTGAGGAAATCCTTCAGCGATACGATATTAGTTCATTTTATGGGTGCAAGTGTCTCGAGCGCTGCAGTGCCAGAATTCGTTTTCTATATTTTTCTATAAATAATCCATTTGTTATGTTAGTAAGAGAGTTCAATCACTTAGTTGATTTCAATCTTCAGAGTGCTTCTCTGCAATTTTCTTAGGAGTGACAACTAAGAGAATTAAGAGAGCACTAGATCCACTTCATAAGATTGTTTGGTCAATATTTGTGGAAGCAATTCCGTAAATTCAAGGAGTGTAGAGGAGATCATTGAACCCATCCGATTATATCTTATTCTTTTATGCTTTCTTTATTTTGTGTAATTAATGAAAATGAGTTTGCTTCACATGTTCTTCACGTTTGACTAAATTCTCTAGTTTTTGATTGATGATGTAAATGGAATATGGATATTAATGAATTCTCTTCATCAATAATTTAATGATATTTTTAATGTGCCATATCTTCATTTAATGCACATAGTGACTATATGTGTAGTTAATATCAAGTGTAATATGGAGCCTAGGAATAGGAAAGCAGACACAACCAGATATATTGAATTGATATGATGCGAGCATAGACATAATGCTTGACATAAATCAAATTTATAGAGATGAATTATACCGAGGAGGTTTTAACAGTACATGGTTTGCTCACTCTTCTAAGATTTTTATAGGGTGATAGATTATTTGTCCTTTGTCTATTCACGTTTGACTGAGTAGTCGATGATGCATATGCTCTGAATAGCATCAATATAAAATAGAATCATTATAAAATATATTGTATTTTCATTCCATCAATCAAAAACATTTTATCTAACTAGTTTTTCATTTTAATTTTTTTTTTAATTTTAAACTAAGTGATTAAATTTCCATCAAAACTTATTTTTATTGAGTATTATAATTGTAGTAATTATAGTAGACATTACTAGTATTTGCATGTAAATATTATTCATTGTGGGATCGATACTCTATTCTATCACTATATTATTTGATTCGGCACGTATACTTGCATATATTAAGTAAACTTTTTATAATTTTTATATTAAAGAAAATCTAAGCATTATATAGGGATTGATATAACCCTAAATCATTTTTCACAATTTTTTAACTTATTCCACCATCCTCATCACACAGCTAGCAACCTGAAATTATTAAGTATAGGTGTGAGTTTGTAAGAACAAACTAAGTAGGTAAAACCTTACCAAGCAAAACATAAATGGCAAGGCATCATATAAAGTATGAGCAAAAAGAGGGATACAATAGAAAAATAAACACTATATTATAATAGCTTCAAAGAATGTATGATATGAGATTTTGGATGCATTTAATTTGTTAAAGCTTCTTATATAACATAATTCATAAATAATTACTTGTAACAACTAATAATCATTTCATTAAACTACAAATACATTCATGTATATATAATTATATACGATATTTATACATCCACCAATGACTCATCAGTTATTTTTTATTGATCTTTGTATATCAATAGATGTATATTTATAAATATTTGTAGTCGGTTTACTACAATATCTTACTGGGAAAGGTAAGCACAAATCCCAAGGAAATCCAATGATTTTCTATAGAGTCTTCGCTCTGAGGATCTGTTGGTCTAGTTATCCAATATCCAATAGGGTTAAATACCGACATTTACAAGCATCAAACACTCAAGCTTGTATTATATACATATTGTATTTCAATAATTGTGCTTAAAACGAGTTATTAACACAGTTATATACATTACAAAATTCATATTTATATGGGAGAGAATTATTCAAAGTAGCCAGAATAAAGCATGTGAACTATCTAGGCATTTACATAACAAGTAACATGGTAGAGTTAACTGTAATATCATGTCAAAATGGTCACTTGAAATATTGTGCTATCAATAAATAAAACTTTGAACAAGTAGCAAGGGATGCGCCCCTAGCAAAGAAGGGTACGTTTATCATTTACTCAGTAAGGAGTCACCTACCCATTAGAGACCATAAGTAGTGGAGAATTCCAATCATGATGAAGCTCCTCTCATTCCAGCACATGGCATTCAACATACTCTAAATCAAATGGATGAAGGGGATGATAGCATGATAAGGGGGAAAAGAATGAGATGTATGTGCTTCTTTCCCCTTCAAGAAGGAAACGAAGAAATCCTAAGCAAGGAGGTGAAATCAAGGTATCATCAACCAAGTCGGTCCTTTTTCCATTCAAATATCGTTCTCTACTGCTCGGGTAGTCATAGCCACCAAACTGTGATGCTATCGAGCAAGACCATGGCCACTCGCCTTCCTTTCTATGTGTTACGTGTGATAGGAGGTTGATGCCGAACAACACCTCCTCGATCCTTGCTCACACGTGCTGCATCCGACCTTTGTTTCGAGCTCCCTTTCTCGCCGCCACTCCCCCTCTTTCTTGCGCTCACTCCGATGACCTAAATTTGATCTCCATCTTAAAGGAACAAGATTGCTTGAATAGGAAATCAAATGACGTGAACCAATTTAGCTGACCCGGTGCTGTTCGACTCTGCCCATTCTAGGTTATTACAGTATAGCTTCTCATTGTATTTCTATCTCTAATTTCATAATCACCATCCTCTCATAACCATCATACTAGATCCTATATGCTTGTTTAAATCAACCGTAGTAATTATTCGTTTTTTTTTTCAGCAGGTGTACAATGTAATAATTCATCTAGGTTCCCTAAATTGATTTTTAAACTATATTCTAATCCTACTTGGGAAATATATGCACTAACCACATTCAAAATTTCCTACCCAATAATTATGTTAACAGGAATCACCCTATCACTAACTCTATTGATTTCACAATTTTATCTTCCAACTATTTATCTTTTACTAGTCCAACCCATTCCTATTGTTAGCCTTTAAAATGTACAACTTGTAAACTTCCCCAATATCTTTTGCTTTTTCCCCTTTCCATCCATTTTGTTTCTTGTAAGAAAGTAATATATATGTATTGTCATAGCATCCATCAATCATATCTTTACATCCAGAGTTTTCAAATTCAATTGGCCAAATCTAATCTTAATTTCAGGCCTAGTCAACATTTGCTTACTTTTTACAACAATCAAGTTTATTTATGTCACATGACTTAAAGATGATGTCCTAGCCTACCTTTGTTATCTTTTTGCTACAGTTTAGTTAAATTATGATGCCTTAGTGCGTTACTTATCCTACAATTCACCTGAATCGGACTAGGTTGTGACGTGTTACTTCTTGAGAAATCCCAATTAAGCACTAGCTAAATTCAAATTTGGAGTCATATCATTAGTTTTGACTTGAGTTTTACTACCAACTTTCAACTTAATGTAAACTTTCAATGTTACATTGTTACTCCTCCGGGCTGGGGATTTAATAAAATGCCTTAATAATAAGGTTAAAATGACTAATATCTTTGGTGGCTTAATCTCCTATGATTAGTTGGTGCATTTTTATTAATATATCTCTTATTATTATTATTTTGCAACATCTCCATTAAAGCATGGAAAGATTTAAGGCGGACCTCGTTAATCACACCTTTATTTTTGCAGCTGGTTGATTTTGATAGCTGGCAAATGGTTCTATCAAAATCAGAGAACAATTCTGATCAGATTAGCGGTGGATATTCTTTCAATAGTTTAGTTGGTTCTTCAGAGAGACAACTGGATATTCAGTGCAACACTTACTCATTTGGAGTGCTTTTACTAGAAATAATAAGCAGAAGACATCCTTTCTGCAAAGAGAGAGGATGCTTGGTTGACTGGGTAAGTCATTTCAGCTAATTTATCTTTAGTCAGTAGCACTTGATTACAATTGATTTGTAACAGAACCCCAATGATTTGAGCCGACTATATATATATATATATATCCCAATGAATTTTAGCAAAATATTATTTGGCACTATTGTTTGAATTGATTTAGAGTTCGTTGAAAATCAAATCATATTGAGTCGAGCTTAGCTGGACTCATGTATACTTTCATTTTGAATTGACTTTTGAGTCAAGCTAAACTTTAGTATTTTTGAGACAAAGTTCAACTAGTTTGAACTCAGCTCAAAGTTACCCTTAGTGGTAGAATAACATTTTCAGTTAATTTAAGGCTTGCGCATTTATTGAATGATTGAAAACCCTTATGAACGATTATTTTTATGGATGGTAGCTTCACTCTGATGCACATTGACCGCTCCTTAGTTCCATTTAACTCCAAAAAACCAACAGCATTCTCTCTTTGTAGGAAAGATGCTAAAAATGGTTATTTAATATGGAAAATCATCCAATTTTACTTTTATGCGTTACTAGTGGGAGTAGCATACTAATACGCATTTGTTCTTGCTAATCACATCAGCATTCATGTTTTATGGAAAGTCTTCACTTCTTTGTTTTATGGAAAGTCTTCACTTCTTTGTTACCATCTAGAATTTATTTAATATTTCATCTCATGTTGCTTTTTTAAGAAATGTGAATTATTTGTTTAGAAACTATAGATTAAGGCAAAAATCTTTTTCAATTTTTTATCATTATGTTTTGTTATTATTATGTAATTAATTATTATTATTACTATTATTAGTTATTACACTAATAATAGCAATGGTTATTATTAATAATATAATTAATATTATTATTAATTAGTATTATTATTTGTATTATCATTATTAAGTTAAAAAAGACGAAAAGAAGCAAAATAATAGAAGTTCAAAAAAAGAAAAGAAAAAAAAGGAAAATGACAAAAAAAAGATGAAATAAGACAAAAAATGATAGAGATAAAAAAGGGTAAAAGAAAATTTTATTATGTATTTTGCCGCCACCACCGCCATCAACCGTCGTCATGCAGGTATAATTCCTTAAACTTAAAACACCTCTCTCTTGGCGTTTGCGGCTAGCCGGAGGACCCCATATGCGCGCCCATGTAGCACAGTAGGAGGGAGCCTGGTGTGACGCTTACGACAAGGTGGGTAGGCCCTGTACACGCTCTCATAGTGTGGTGGGGACACTTTTAAGTACCCACATGCGCCTCAGTGTCAGCAGGGAAAGCAATTGCATGTTTTCAAACAAGTATCGTGAAGACACTTAAGCGCTTCGTTGCGTGGCGGGGATTGAAGCAATACGTCCACAGTGTTGCCTGACACCTACATGAAGTGCTCTTGTAGTGTGGAGGGGAAATCCAATTCTCGGATTTCCCCTAAACGTGTGAGACGCCTGAAGGTTGCCGCGGTGAACAGAGGACTTAAATTGAATACTGAGGACCTGAACCTAAACAAAACAGCATGGGACTATACTTGAACAAATATATAAGGCATGAATATGACATAGGGAATTTGAACAATGCAGACAGATAACAAAGCTTGTGAACTAATAAGCAAGGAAATGGGCATTAAATCAATGAATATACGATCACGATGAAAACACAAGCATTAAGTGATAATTATGATCATTCAAAAAAAACAAAAAAAAATCAAATGAAGGACCTATTAGTGGCAAAACATCAACACAACTTACATGTATAAATTAATAAAATTGAAGGAAATATGCAACTCGGTTGCAGCCAACAAAATAGAACCTTGGATGTATGCTATAACCCATACATGAACAATTGCAGCTGGTGTATAATGATCAGATTAATCATATCAACGAATGAGCAAAGATAATTGCAATAACTGCGACATTGTGTTCATGAGTAGAATACAAAAGATATACAATGAGTGTGACAACTTCCTTGTTGTTAATATTCAAACAAATACAATGACTCCCCATAAATGAACATCAACAAGCGTCACAGATAGATATACATGCTGCGACATGCAACAATTGCAAATAAATACCAAGCTCTTATAAGTGATGAGGGTTGATGTGTAACAACAACCTACCCATAGGTAATTGCAAGAAGATTATGACATGGTGATTTACCTACAATCACGCACGAAGAAGGTAACATATAAGCTTCTGGACAAGTACGCGGGCATGCTTGTGAGCGACGATAGTATATAAGCTGTGAATGTGACGACCCCTCTCCAATCAATATCAACTTGCAAGTAAATTCATTGAATATTTACAAGTGAGGAGAGATAACACATAGTGAATGTGATGGACTCCTACAATAACTTCTATGCAGTCAAATGCACTAGCTCATTAGCAAAGAAAACATTGCCTACGAACATAGGCAAGCATCATGCAACAAACACAATAATATCCCTATGATCAATATCAATTAAGTTTGCAAGTAAACATGTCAGTCCATTGTAGACAATTGAGTTTGACGTGCAATGAATGTAGTGTCGACATCCATGTAAGCAAAACAAAGAAGTTATGAAGAAGTTAATTTCCTTGCCATCGATGTCAGTTAATTTACAAACGAACACATACCAAATTCTCGCAAATGATGACGACCAATATACAATGAATATGAAAGACAAGTGGTGAATGTGATTACGCCTTGCCGTCAATGTCAAAGTACAAGTAAATGTACTCAACCCTACAAGCAACAAGAAGGGTATGCAACAAGCTGCAATGCACGTTGCATATTGTATACAAGCATGGTGTGATGGATCTTCTACAAGCATGAAATAGAAGATTGTGACGAATGCAAATGCTTATTAACGATAATGGAAGATGCGTCATATACACAGTAATACATATATGTGGGTGATGACCAATAAGCAGTGGATGCTATAACACCTCGCAATCGATTGCCACTCAATGTCAAACAAATACATTGCTCTCCTGCAAGTGAAGACAAATGACGTGCAACAAATGTAAGCGTCTACGGGCTACTGTAAGAGACTCGCTATATGCATTATATGTCATCCACTAGTAAATATATAAGACCTCCAATAGGTGTCAGCATCTGCAACAGTAGCTGCAGGAGATTTGTTAATGCACGAGAGTCTACCTATCTAAAGCAGCAAACAACTCATAATGTGATGCCACGCCATTGGATCCACAACACTCGTAGAAGCGGACAGAAGGCATCTACAAGTTCTCAAATAAAGTGTTATGCATGTTCAAATGGCAGTCGACCGTACAACTGATCAGAATTAAACATTTTAAAATGCCTCCACACATATATTACAACATGTATACACATAAATACAGAAGTGCACGTGCAAGCGCATAAATATGCAAATAAAAGTGTAAATGCACATGGAAGTATGTAAGCATAATATAAGAAAATGCATGTGTAATTGTATACCTGCATGGGCTCCGACGAGCGTGTCATGTGCGTACATGTAACTTCTGAGGTTGCTGCGTGGGTTAATAAGTGAAATCAAGTTTGAATCCAATTTTTCTATGCGGTTTATTACGAGTTGACACAGTTCGAACTATCGAGCAAATATATGGTCGTGATGTCGAACAGGATATTTGTTTTATATGCTCATTGTGGGCTCCAAAAATTCGGCCCCGTCCTTCGCTGCTTTGGCTTTTTCTTGGGGGGGGGGGTTTAACGGATTAAGTTATGGGATATATTTTGGAAGGAAGATGGATTTGTAGATAAGACACTACCCAGAGATTTCGCCCTCATTTTGCAAGGACTTTATGATCCGAGTTCTGGTTTCCTATAGGCGCAAGCCCCTATAATTAATTGCCCCTCCCAATAACGAGAGAGAACTTTTTATTAAGGCTAGGAGTCAATTAGATACATAAAGATACGTATTATCTGGCATATAGTAGCAGCATTGGGCATATGTATTTGAAGAGTTTGGAGATTTAGAAAATTGATATTTAAAACAGAAACTTCATCATATTCCACTTAAAGCGGATGGTGGGGGAATGGATGATGGACCCGATCAAGATCCCATGGTTCCGTCATCCCGGGCCATCGTGGTCCCTGGTCTATTTAGTCAGAGGAGGTAGTCGACCCAACCTGACAGAAGGATCCTTATCGGCAGCCATGGGTTGCTTCGTCCAAGGGTACCTTGTAGACCCGGGGTGGGTGTTTGTCTAAAGGGACAAATTTGAATCCACCTTAGCTAACAAAGGGCTTTATACCCTATCTATCATATCCTATTGATTAATATCTCAAGGATTTGATGTCGCTAAGGAACGTATTGGCTCTAGCCATAATCGGTATCAGTGGTGCCATTTGGCGGCAAAATCACTCGGTTCAGAGGTCCCCGGGTCATAACCGTTTATCTTACGGTGTAATTTAGTGGTAAAACCTCCGGTTAGAGAACACGTATCACGTCCTTACTAACAGGAGATTGTTTGAGAATGGTTCATAATGATATTTTCGACTAGTTATTTGGCTCTATATGAGCTGAAGTAAATTTTAATTTGTCCATCTTGGCAAACTATGACAGTGGCTGGATGGATTTTTGCTTTAAGTGTTCTATGGTTGGATTTCAATTTTAAATATTTTCAAATTGGGATTTTGATGATTTTTGGATTTCAGAACTTGTGTAGTTTTGGATTTTGATGGGCATTTGGGTGGAGCTTGAAATATTTTGAATTAACCCCTCCGGTTGAGATTTACATTCAACACAGCCATCATTGGGGTGTTTGGGGGCATTTTCATTTATGGACTGAACCTTGTCAACTCGACCATGCTGTTGATCGAGGATCGGGTTTCTCGTAGGCTTTATGTCTTTGTTGGTGAATTTTTATTGTTATAGGCCTTGAAGGCCTAATATGAATGTATTAAGACAAATATATCGGTCGCCACAACCGTATATTTGTTTAATGGTTCAAACCCTATTTACTCCCATTGACCAGCATAGTAGGATCGGGTTCGAGCTTGAATTCACTTATTGACCTGCACAGCATCCCTATATGTCACGTGTGTACTAATAACACGCTCACCAGGGCCCATACGGGTTTTATGATTGCATACCTCCTTTTATGTACCTATGTGTATACATATTATAGTGCATGTGCGGGGATATTTTAGAATATTTGTAAACGCCTTCTGTCTGTTTGCATAGATGTTGTGGATCTAGTGGCATAGCGCAGTAACTTCTGAATAGAGTTGTCAACTGTTTTATACAGGTAGACTGTCGTGCACTAATTATTGCTAGCTTTCTGTATGGGGATTGTAGTGTACTAACGAATCTCCTTCTTTGTCATATAGGTAATTGTGTCCATCATAGTTCTTTGTATTTTGCTTCTAGAACATACATATTGAATGTATAATGGGTCTTCTACAGCAGCTTGTAGGAGCTCATGAAGATTACCGTCAATTTCAATATTCACTGCTTGCAGGTTTGAATGCATTTGTTTATGTCATGAAGTTGATCTTAAAACATTGTTGCATTCATTGTGATGACTATTGATAAGTCATTATGCTCGTTCATTGCATGTCAACTCTTGCTCGTAGAGAAGGAATCTACATTTGCTTAGGCAGATTGCTGTGTGAATAAGAAGTTTTCCATAGTAATTTGTAGGGACTCGCATGTGTTCCAAATATGTGCATTGTGTATGTTTGTAGGAGCCTATATCTATTGTGTATCTTCTGTATTTGCTTGCAGTGGAGTGTTGCATGCGTCGGAAGTCTATGCCTTCTTATCTTTAACTCTCAAGTCAGTTTTCGTATACATGATGAATCTTCTACACTTGTTTATAAATGCTTGCATCCGTTGTATGCAAAGACTATCGTATCTCCCTACACAATTGCATAGAGCGCTATTCAATGCACGGAGTCTTTATGTTCATAGAGGATTGCTCTAGCCATTTGTGTGTCGCGCAGTGTTGGCAAAACACTACAATAATCATTTCCTTTATGCTTATAGTGAATAGGAATATATGCTTGCAAAAAACCCGACTTATGTCGGCAATTAGATAGAGTCGACAAGGTTTGATCAATGAAATGCAATTGTTCATTAATACTCTAATGATGGCCATGTTGATAGAAAATCTCAACTGAAGGAGACCGCAAATATTCAAGCAAATATCACTCAAATGTCCATGAAAATGTAAAATACCAAAACCCAAATATTTATAATCAAACTTAATCATCAAAACACTTAAAGCAAAATATGGACCCTAAACACTTAAACCAAAACCCAACTGATGCATTCCCAAACAGTCTTCTGCCAGCAAAGACATGGCACATGTCCTCTAATCGACATTTTTTCCACCAAATGATACCACAAGTAAACGTTTATGACTAGGGTCATCTGAATCAGGTGGTTTGCTGCCAAATGGTACTACTAAATTACGGTCATGGTCAGAGCCTGTAAGCTCCCCAATGGTACTAAATCCTTGAGATATGAATTAATATAATATAATTGATAGGGCACAAAGCCCCCTGTCAGTTAAGGTGGATTCAAATTTGTCCCCTTAGACAAATATCCATCCCAGGTCTACAAGGTACTTTTGGACGAAGAAACCCATGGATGTCGGCAATGATATTTTTGTCAGGTTGGATCAATTACTTCCTCTGACTAAGTAGACCAGGGATTATGATGGCCCGGGGTGGTGGAACCATGGGATCTTGATCGAGTTGATCGGGTCCATCATCACTCCCCCCATCATCCCCTTTAAGTGCAAGATGGTGAAATTTTTAATTTTAAATATAAAATTCTTCAACGCATGTTACTATTATATGCCATATACATATTGTGTAGCAGATCGACGAAAAGCCTTAATTGGAAGTTCTCTCTCATTATCGGGATGGGTAATTAACTTAGGGGCTTGCACTTATAGGAACCAAAACTCAAATATAAAGTCTTCATAAAATGAGGGTGAAATCTTTGGATAGTGTCTTATTTCAAATCAAATCTGTCTTTTGAAAATTTATCCTAAAACTTAATTCGTTAAAACTCTCCCGAAAGAGAGGGAGACCGAGTCATGAATTTTAAGAGCCCACACAACCTTACTGTTGCACACCTCTACAACACTTAATAACTGATGTGTGTAAGTGTCCATCTTGGTGCCTTCATTTTTTCCTTTTGTGATTATACAACATGTATCTTGTACTAAAGCCCTTGCAATTAGTTGGATCTAAAAAAAAATCTTTCATTTTTTTTGTGTAGATAATTGATTAAAATAACACAAGAATTAACTCATTCAATGTGTTGTCGTGTTTGATGCAGGCTGCAGAGTACCTTCAGAATCCAGACGAGATAGGAAAGCTGGTAGATCCTGAATTAAAGGATGTGAAGGTTGATGATCTTGCTATAATATGCAGTGTGGTTAGTCTCTGCATTGATCCTGATCCCTCAAGAAGACCATCCATGCAAATAATAGCCGCTGTTCTCGAAAATGGAATTGATATTTCCGCAGCTGCCATTCTCAAGGATTCTCCTTTAGCATGGGCAGATCTTGCTTTGGCTTCCTTGTAATTTCTCAGAACATATTATGCTTCACATGCTTGTTCTTTCTTTTTTTTTTTTTATTATTTTTTTATTTAAATTATTGTTATTGCCTTGCTCGTCTGAGTGATGTAGAGGGCGATGCACAGCCGGAGCTCAATTTCCTGTACATTTGATTGACAACGTTTTAGTAGTAAAATACAGCTAAAAATTGATATTGCTTCTGATCTATATTCAGCCGAGTTTCTATGCCCTTTTTGTTTGATGCTTTAATTAACCTTCATGTCAACGGAAAATTATTAGGTCCGGACACCGGACGTAGAGATACGTCCGGACATTCACTAAAAATTTGACACGTGGAGTGCACTTTAGTTGCATTTTTTGTGTGCTTTACTTGCACTTTATTTACGTTTTACCTGCGTTTTAGTTGCGTTTTTTTACTGTGCTTTACATGTGCTTTAATTGCGTTTTTGGTGCGATTGGCTTAAAGTTCTGCGGACACATTAAACATATTGAATATTCACGTGTCGATATTTTATTGACGTCCGGACGTATCTCTACGTCCGGTGTCCGGACCTAATAATTTTCCCATGCCAACAACTTCATTTCTGGACAAGAAATCTAGTGAATTTAGGGTTCGGTTGGAACGGCTTTCTTATAGCTTTTTAAAGCAGCTTTAAGTTTAGTCAAGATTTTCATGGCTTGCAGTTCTCTAACTTTTGCCTTCAAAGCTGTATTAAACTTACCATGGACCAAAGTACATAGTTATCTTTCAAAGTTTGGCTTCAAACTGTACTAATCATTCTCATGCGGTTCCAGATTATTAACAGGATTTAAGATTCCTTGCAATAATAGTTGGTTTTCATGGAGAATGCTGGCTTCAGTGTTCTCATTATAATGCAGTGATTTCTAATTTACAGGTTTGCTGCTAAGCTATCCGAATGCCCCAACTCTCCCTCAAACTTCAAAAGAAAAATTCTTTATATCCCATTGGGTCTAATAATTTTAAAAATTATTAGTTTGCTTGAGAT